TTTTTTTTTTTTTTTTTTACCATTTACAATTACTGGTCTAATTGGGTAGCTCTGCAGCTAAGGGCCAATTTTAGAGTCTCTACACTCAAGTTAACAATTAATCGATTACTAAATTAGTTGACGATTATTTCAATTATCGATTGATCCCGATTCATTGTTTCAGCCCTAGTTTGGATATCTATAACCAAGCACTCTCCAGAGAGTTGAAAACCTCCTCAGCATCTGCTGAACCCCCGTTATGACTTTACATGGAGAACAACTATTTGTTAAACAGCATTTGTTTGCAATCTCTTCTGCTTTGCTACAACCACTGACGGTTAACAGACAGTACATATAGCTGCTGGACTTTATTGCACGGGCTGCATCCTATGTTTGCAGAGGCAGTGTGCAGGTATAGAGGTTAATCCAATACTCCCTTTGGCCTTGGAATTGATAAGAACAAGAATTTGTTTTAATTGAATACATTTGACAATATAGTGTATCTAAGGAATAAAGGTTTTAAAGTTGTGAAGATACCATTTTTTGTATGTGAAATACAAAACTGGCATTTCTAAAGCTTTAAAACGAAGGACTGAAATCTTGACTAAGTGCCACTGTCAAGGTTTAACCTAATCTGCCATAATCCAAAGTGGTTCCAACAAAACAGACGCATAAACACTTCAACATGTGTAGCTGTGCTCTTCCTCTAGTTGGTATGAGAGTGCAAGAATAGCTAGTAAAAGAAGTATTTTGTGATATCACTTATCTTTGTGTCATTTGCTTGCTAGAGGTAATAAACACTGGTGTGATGCAAGTTCTTTCCAACAGTCTGTATTTGATGGAAAAAGTTTCCAAACTCACTATCACAACAGGAATCCTGTCATTCCAGTATAGTGAATATCTCAATAACATGCTTCCCTTTGCATCCTTGTACAAAGTAATGATGACACATGGTGAATCAGCAGCTCAGGCCAACAGAGGAATCCTCTTAGCCAACTTTGCTCCTTCTACTCAACAGTGGAGGTCACAGCCACACCCCTCACTGAAAGACATAACACCAATAGTGCCCTACAGGAAGGGTGGAAACAGGGAAAATGCAGGTAGGAGGGGCAAGATAAGAATCGGGAGGTGGAGAGCAGCTGGTAAGAAGAACAAAAGCAACTTACTCATTTGCGAGTTTTTAAAAACGGTGAGAGGAAAACAAAGAAAAACAAAAAACAAGCCATCTCTATATGATATTGAAAACCTTCAAGCTCTTACACACAAAAAAAAAAAACAGACAAAAAAGGATGTTGCTTTCCATATGGAATCCAGCCAGCCTACACTAAAGGGGAAAGAAAGAACTAAAGAACAGAGTCTTTTGGGACCCTAATCACAAGGCTTTCAGCGCAGCAATGCACTTTTGCATAACTTCCTGCCACAGAGAACTCTGGACAGCCACAGTAACATTCCTTAACAGGACTGTACACGTCAGAGAGCTATTTTAGGTATGTGGCCAAGCAAGTTCTCTACAAAAACTAAGGAAGAGATGAGAAAAGGTCCATCCCAAATATTGAATCCCTTAGCAGATATTTATATTTCCAATCAATGCAAGACTGTAAAGCTATGATAAAAAGGAGGAGGAAAGGGAGGGCTGGAACACAAGACAAAGCCAGCTGGGCCAATAGGAAACAAATAAGGTCAGAAAGGATGACAGTGATAAACATCATAGCTATATACTGCAAGTACAAAATCTCCTTGTGATATTAAGGGGTATACTGGGGGAAAATGGATATAATGGGCAACACCTTCTGTAAATGGAATGCCATTACTATTCAGGACTGTATATTGTAATGGGTCAATGGGTAATAATTGGCCATATTGGTCAATTATATGTTAGAGT